GTAATATTATAATTTTTAAAGAAATAATTATAACTTATAAGAAAAAGATTATAACTATCGAAGAAAAATTTATGATCGACCACAGGGATTTTTAATTGATCATAATCTTCTTTAAAATAGTTGTAATTTTTTTTAAATATATAATTTTATTATAAAAAATTGTAATCTATAATATGGTATAAAATTTATTTTTTTCCGTACGGTAGAATTTTTCTATAGATATGGGACCTTATAGCGGCAAATCAAAGTGACCCATGAATGACAAGTAACTTTCTTTGATTTTCCTCAAGGAACAAGGACAGAGACAAAATAAGTGCTTGAAAAAATGTGCAGCCATGCACAATCCCATAACTTGTCAATATCCCATCACGATCTAGACATTAATGGGTGACCTAATTGAAAACATGATACAACCTTTGTGGGTAGGCAAGGGGTCTGGAGTAAATTTTGGGACTCCAGTGGGAATTTGGTAATTTTAAAATTTAATTTGTTAATTTAATTTATTATAATTTTTAGATTGATTACGAGGTTTATCAAATATTAGAATTTGATATTAATTCAATAATTTTATTGAAATTACATTATTATGTTAATAAATTAAATTAAAATTTTAAATTTAAATAATATTATTCCTTACGAAAAGATAGAAAACATACGAAAATCGAAGACTGATTGATAAAAGGTAGAGAAGTGGCGCCATCGAATACTTGTTATTGATTAGAAACTGTTAGTTTCTTCTTGCTTTTGAAAGAACCAATCTGTTTGTTGTTATGATAAATGACGCAACTGGCTTGATTAAAGGGATGAATCACAGGAGGACAGGAGAAAATCTTATGTTTTCTGTTCTCTGTATTTTCCTTCTTATTTGTTTATGTAAATGATTCATACATCTTTGTTTTGTCGACATTGTATGTTTAGAAATATAATTTTTTTTTTAATTTCTAGCGACCGACCTTGTACGATGCACGGACTATCGTCGTTGTTAATGTTTATCCCTCATCAATTAAATTAGGAAATCTCACTACTTTCTTATATGGTAGGGTACACCAAAGTAATATATAATATATAAATTTTCTTTCTATTCTTTTTTTTTACATAGTATCAAAGTTTAAGCTCGTGAATTCTTCTAACCAACGATAATATGCTCTGTGGTTGTTTTACGAGGCATCCTCCACATCAAAGCTCTTGAGGTTCTTCTCCTTCAGGCTGTCCTTCAACAACCTATTTTGATTATTCTCTGGCGCCGTTCTAGCCATCCTTTGATGCCAGAGGTTTGTGTCGCTTCAACGATCTCCAGCACCATTCTAGTCATCCCCCATCGACTTTTTGATCACCTCCGGCCATACTCTGGTGAAATTCGACTTGCCCTTAGCCATCCTCCAATGACCATTCGGTTGCCCCTTGGCGACGTTCTAACCTACTCGACCATCCTTTGGCTGTCCTCCAACGACGTTCTGGTCATCCTTAGTGATGTTTCAATTGCCTTCTGGCTATTTTCTAGTGATCTCTGGCTATACTTCAACAACATTTCAATCGTCCTCTGACGACATTCGACTTGCCCCTGATTGTCCTCTAATGACATTTTAGTCGTCCTTCGGCGACTTTCAGACCTACCCTGGCCATCTTCCAATGGTCCTTCGGCGACGTTCTGGTTGTCCTTCAACGATATTTTGATAAACTTCCGGCCATCTTATAGCGACCTCTGGCTATCCTTCGATAACTTTTCGATCATCCTTTGACAATGTTCTAAACTGGCCTGATTGTCCTCCAACGACCTTCTGGTCACCCTCTAGTGATATTCTGACTTGCCACGACCATCCTCCGATGATTTACTAGGTTTTGACTAGTCTTGATTGTCCTCCGATGAAGTTTTAATGGTTAAGGGTGTTCGAATTAGTTTACGCGCAGGTATTCATGATTCCTCATAGCCTAACTCCAAAGGCTTGCCAAGATCCGAACTCAGACCGCCTGAATTTACAGCTAGTCTCTATTGCCACTTGAGATATTCTTTGGGTTAAAAAATATAGCATTAGTCCTCGCTTTATTAATCCTTTAAATGGATTGGGCTTTTCTACTTGGAAATATTCCTACTGAGCTAGACATGACTAAGAAGTTTGGTGTAACATTACAGAAGGAATGAACACTACTGCCCCAAAGTGATAAAAAGTGACATGTAGAGTGCTCCATTTCTCTCATTTGCTCCACCTATTGAACAAAATGTATGTTATGGTGTAGGGGGTCGGCAAAAAGCCCCTGGCCAGTGGGCTGGCTCCTTAGCNCTGATTGTCCTCCGATGAAGTTTTAATGGTTAAGGGTGTTCAAATTAGTTTACGCGCAGGTATTCATGATTCCTCATAGCCTAACTCCAAAGGCTTGCCAAGATCCGAACTCAGACCGCCTGAATTTACAGCTAGTCTCTATTACCACTTGAGATATTCTTTGGGTTAAAAAATATAGCATTAGTCCTCGCTTTATCAATCCTTTAAATGGATTGGGCTTTTCTTCTTGGAAATGTTCCTACTGAGCTAGACATGACTCAGAAGTTTGGTGTAACATTATAGAAGGAATGAACACTACTGTCCCAAAGTGATAAAAAGTGACATGTAGAGTGGTCCATTTCTCTCATTTGCTCCACCTATTGAACAAAATGTATGTTATGGTGTAGCGGCAAAAAGCCCCTGGCCAGTGGGCTGGCTCCTTAGCTCGGCAGCCCACCAATGCCATACTTGCCTAGCTTATCTGGGCAGCCAGTTTACCCATTGAGTAGGACCATGACTCAAAACTGTTGTAACAGAATTCATCCTCCTCTTACACCTCTTTTTCATTCTAAAAAATTTCACTTCTTCTCTTGTGGGCAATATCCCTCACATGGGAACAAAGCCTCATATCAGTCTTACAAACTTTGCTCAAACCTATGGTCCATTGGTGTCACTAAGATTAGGAACTCAGACCCTGGTCATTGCATCATCACAGGCTGCTGCAGTGGAATTCCTTAAGACTCGTGATCATAACTTTTCTGTGCGATATGTTCCTTATGTTGAACCAGCCAAAAGTCCAGAATTCAACCATTTATCACTAATGTGGGCTTTGGAGTGTAACGATGCCATGGAAGCATCTATGTGTAATATGCTGAACAGGGCTTTTTAGTGGCAAAGCAATAGAGTTTCAACCTTCATTGAGAGAGCAAAATGGAAGAGACATGGTGAAGTTTCTGATTAAAATGGAGGGGAGGATATAGTGAAGACTGAAAATTGGTGAAGTAGTTTTTGCCACTTTGCTTAACAGAATGGGTAATGTTTTGATATCAAGAGATTTTGTCAATCGAGGGGAAGAGAGTGTGGATGGAGGGATGAAAGGTCTTCTAAGAACAATCATGCTAGTGGCTGCAACTCCAAATTTACCAGATTTATGTCTGATTTCGGTGAATTAGATCTTCAAGGTCTTAAAAAGAAGGTCATGGAAGAAAGAAGAAAAATAAGGAGGGGAGGCTCTTCGTGTCAACAAGATTTGTGGATGCCTTGCTCGACAATGATTTTATCGATGATCAAATCAACAATGATTTTAGTTCTTGCTTTGTGATCTCCATTTGGTTGATTGATATTTTTTGTGTGGAATTATATGCCAATGAGCTAGCCATGGATGACAAGCTCGCCGTAACATTGCAGACGAGAAATCTCTGCTCTTTAATCCTGAGGCATAGTTTATCATTTTTGTCACTGACAAAATGTATATCAAGTTTATAATTGATTTCTATCAGAAATGTATCTGTAATTTGCTGAGTTATGGGTGTTCAAGTATAATCACTCTGAGAATGCAAGTATATAGTAAAAATAAAGAATTTATGACTGAACACAGATGAAATCATTTTATTGGTAACAATGAACCTTCCACTAAATTTTACAAAATGACTTCAATCCTTCAACAAAAGAATACATTGCCCAAATGACACAACTAAGAAAGAATTTCAGCATACAAAAGAATCAATGGATGACAAGCTCGCCGTAACATTGCAGACAAGAAACCTCTGCTCTTTAATCCTGAGGCATAGTTTATCATCTTTGTCACTGACAAAATGTATATCAGGTTTATAATTGATTTCAATTAGAAATGTATCTGTAACTTGCTGAGTTATAGATGTTCAAGTATAATTACTCTGAGAATACAAGTATATAGTAAAAATAAAGAATTTATGACTGAACACAGATGAAATCATTTTATTGGTAACAATGAACCTTCCACTAAATTTTACAAAATAACTTCAATCCTTCAACAAAAGAATACATTGCCCAAATGACACAACTAAGAAAGAATTTCAGCATACAAAAGAATCAAAGAATAAAGACAAATGTGACTCCAAAAGCTAGAACTGAAATACAGAAATCTGGCCCGAGAAGAACTGAAACCTGCACGAAGCTGTTGTATTATAAAAATGGNAAGAATCAATGGATGACAAGCTCGCCGTAACATTGCAGACGAGAAACCTCTGCTCTTTAATCCTGAGGCATAGTTTATCATCTTTGTCACTGACAAAATGTATATCAGGTTTATAATTGATTTCTATCAGAAATGTATCTGTAACTTGCTGAGTTATGCGTGTTCAAGTATAATCACTCTGAGAATGCAAGTATATAGTAAAAATAAAGAATTTATGACTGAATACAGATGAAATCATTTTATTGGTAACAATGAACCTTCCACTAAATTTTACAAAATAACTTCAATCCTTCAACAAAAGAATACATTGCCCAAATGACACAACTAAGAAAGAATTTCAGCATACAAAAGAATCAATGGATGACAAGCTCGCCGTAACATTGCAGACGAGAAACCTCTGCTCTTTAATCCTGAGGCATAGTTTATCATCTTTGTCACTGACAAAATGTATATCAGGTTTATAATTGATTTCTATCAGAAATGTATCTGTAACTTGCTGAGTTATGCGTGTTCAAGTATAATCACTCTGAGAATGCAAGTATATAGTAAAAATAAAGAATTTATGACTGAATACAGATGAAATCATTTTATTGGTAACAATGAACCTTCCACTAAATTTTACAAAATAACTTCAATCCTTCAACAAAAGAATACATTGCCCAAATGACACAACTAAGAAAGAATTTCAGCATACAAAAGAATCAAAGAATAAAGACAAATGTGACTCCAAAAGCTAGAACTGAAATACAGAAATCTGGCCTGAGAAGAACTGAAACCTGCACGAAGTTGTTGTATTATAAAAATGATTCTTGCCCTTCCAGACAACAAATCTATCTGCAACGAAAGAATGAAAGAATGATGACAGATTGCTTGCCTACAATGAATTTGCTACCCTTTCTGTATATGAGAATGGAACGAATATAATGAATGTATAAAGAAGAAACCCGTGAACTATCAACTTGGCTGAGGATAAGATGATGAGCTGCCTGCAACATCAACAGGTGCCCAAGCCGAAACTGTGTAAAGAGGCTGATCTAACCAAATCAGACTAAGCGCAGCTCCATCCTGCCCTTGCTTCTCCACCTGATAATTTGCATAAGAATACATCTTCAACAGCATTTGGCTCTGAAGCAATTCCCTGTCGCTGCATCCCATGCATCGGAACCCTCCTTGCTCCATCAACTGCCTCCACTTTCCATAACTTTGGTGTCTTTCAAACCTGTCACGCCCTTCACAGGCAATGATATTCCTAATTTCACGCGCAAACATCTCCTCTATTTTGATCCTGACCGGGCTATCTAATGGAAGGCTATAATTAACAGAGTCAAAGATGGCAGAATAGTACTTCAATGAATTAGAAAGCCTTGTTTCCAAGCTAGGGTCATCATGCTCAGCTTCTTGCTCAGCCATGATAACAACTGTGGGGTTTGTGCTTTGAATTAAACCCAAAAAATCCCTAAGTGCTCCTCTGGTACCATCATAAAGCATCTTGTGCAGCTGGAATATACAATTCACAGCCACAGTTTCTGTCTCCTTAACATGAAGCATCCATAGTCTCACATCTTCTAATCTGTCAACAACTGGATGAAATTCGAAAGGAAGGTTCAATGCCCCAGCAAATCCAGCAAGCCTATCTCCTGTCTCAATCAACTCTTGCTTGGATTCACCTATACCAGTGATTCTAACATGGCTTGGAGGATTAATCCTAGACGCCAAACTCTGAAACAAACTAGGCCATTGAAGCCCTTGCTTAATATCGAAGTCTATGATGTGAACCCTGTCCTTTCCTTCAAAAGCTCTCAACAGAATCTCATTTGATGTGAAATGAATGAACTTTGGAATTGGGCTCACCTGGTTCAAAAGCCTTAATGCAGTGCTGCCATCATCATCAACCCGATCAAGCTCCCGAGGCGTAGCAATCTGGAAGATAAGCGGCCAGAGCTTTGCTACTCGCAAAACTAAAGCCTCAGTGAAGTATGCAGTGAGGCGGCTGATAGGAGATCCTCTTGGAGAGGCAAGCTCTCCCAATCTAGCAATAAAATGGTTAATGCCTGTAATATTCTTTGAACAAATTGCTTCCACACAAGCCACGAGGTAACTTATGAGCTCGAATGCATCATGCTCCCCATGGTTGTCATTGCCACCTGCTACAACCTGAGAACTTTCATTTGGGTTTGGTGGCCTAGACCCATTACCTCTCTCATGTTCTGAGGCCTTCTCATTTAGCCTAAGAGCCAAGCTATGGCTCTCTGAAGAAGTACTCGACCCTGATGCCTCCTTTACAAGTCCCTGGCTTGTCTCAACATTCTTATCACCGAAGTCTGTGATCTCAGTCACAACAGATTCCACCCAAGGATTGTTTGACAAAGGCAAAGGTGGTGAAATCACGTCGCTGGGCACAAAACACACTCTCTCCTCCTCTCCTGAACACGATATAGAGAAAGGAACTTGAGGTGGATTATGGCCTATGATGAGTGGAACAGATCGAGGCACTTCGTAGCTTTGTTGAAACCAAAAACTCCCACTTCCCAGTTGGCCTAAACTCAAGCTATCGCCACCTAGTTTTCCTTCTGATGAATCATCTGATTTCCCATTTCCCCTTTTCCTCTTAGCTCTGCTCATGCAAGACTCGTCATCAAAAGAGCCCTGCTCAGCAAACCTCTTCAAACCCTTACGTCTCTCCCAAAATTCATCTTTGTTCTCTCTCCTACCTTCAACAAATACAGTCTGACAAGTGGTTGCCAAAGGTGGGAGATGAATGTTCTGCTTAATAGAACAGCTACTGGTCTTTGCTTCAATAGGCTTCTCTACTGAAAGGCCCACTGGCCTTATTGGTTGCGATCGTGAAGTGTCTTTCCGAGGGTAACTACATGGTAAGTCCAGTCTTTGTGTGCTCATTGAAGGGAAATGGCAAGCTTGAAACTGTGCAGATGGTTCACTCCTCAATCTATGCCTAGGCGACAACAATGTAGAAGAACACCCAGCCAACATGTTCTAACCCTTCCAATTTTCTTTCTTTTTTGTTTGTTCAACCCCAACTCACCCACACTTTTCTCTCTATGTTTCTCTCTGTCTCTCTTTGTGTATTTAATTGGCAGAGTATGTATAAAAATTCTATGAAATGGCGTGAAACTGCATGTATTTCTATCTATATAGAGAAATCCAGAGAAACAGACTATGTGAGTGTGTGAAGTTTTAACAAATCAAAATCAAAATCAAAATCAAATCAAAACACTAGGAATCCGATGGCAAAATAAAGCAGTAAAATCAAAGAAATTCTTTCATATATTTGTGTGTCCCTATGTGAAGATATGATTTGAGTATATGCAATGAAGAACAGAATAAACAAAATCCCACCCAAAACAAAGAATCAAAGAATCGTAAACAACATAAACACCTACCGAAAAATGATCATCGGATTCCAAAAGCTTCACAGAAAACTCATTGGGAAGAAATATGATTTTCCAGCTGATTGAAACTCACACCATGCATGAAACTCCAAAAACATGCTTGTTCATATTGGCAGCTAAAAAACCGATGAATTGAATGACCCAGATCAGCATTTGAGACCTTCATCGATCCCATATTAGCTGAAAACTGAATCCAACTCAAAACCCAGAAACCCCAGCTCTCAGAACCCTTCAAACATCCAAGAAAACAAACAATATGATTATCAACAAAAGGCCACTCCCTCAATCCCCACTACCCAAAAAAAGTCATACACCATATAGGAGTGAGTTTTTATATAATGAAGTGTTGTTTGTTGTTTCGCCAACCATTGTACTTCAATAACTGATTTGGGTTTTTTACATTAACATTGGGAAAAAAATGATGGCTCAGTGAAAAGGTTGTTTCGAGAAGGACTTTGGGGAATGTTGTGTTATGGCCGTTTGATGAAGATCTGAGGGTGGAGATTGACGGATGACATGACCGTTGGGGGGTTGTCGGTAAAATATGACCGTTGGAAGGAGTTTTGGTGAATTGTACGGCACAGGGTGAGTGGATTTTATTCTCTATTTCTGGCGTAGGTGTTGGGGGGGTCTCTGTGGAAGGCACGTAGGATGCACGTGCATCTGTCTTGTTATGAGATAGACCCGTTCACTTGACCGTTGGGTTACACCATCATTTTGCTTCTATGAAATTTCCGGGAGATTACCATCATTAACTTTTTATCAAAAACACACACAAAAAAATAAAAAAGCAAAAAACAAACAAAAAAGCAAAAAAATAATACATTTGTCTAGCCCAACAACAATACACACTCTTTTCAGGGTTTCTTTTTAACAAAAAATAGAGATCACATGAATTTTTTATATTTAATTTATGTCATTCTAATGGTTTAAAACAAATTATTGAAGTTAATTACAAAATATTTAAACTTAAAAAGAGCTATTAGTTAAAATTAAAATCTAAAAGGGTGAATAACAAGTTACCCAAATTAATCTTATATTCTTTTAAGGATTGCATTCGCTGTTAATCAAGTTATTATACTCTTTATTATTTTATTTAAAATTAGTTTTAACATTTTATTATATTCTTTTATTATTTTATTTAAAATTAATTTTAATATTTTATATCCTTTCCATCACTATAAAAATGGTTGAGACTAAGTTGGATTTTTTGCTACTAGATTTTCTAAATTTTTGGTCTCATGCATATTAGTGGATGGATCGCACCTAAAAAGTTCCCTCTTCCCTCCTGATAATGGGATCGATTCTCCCATGACTTTAAAAAATCACAATAAAAAATATAGTATCCCTAAATAGAGATACACCTATTGGGCCCGACCATCATCGAGCGGCCTAATACTAATGTAATGTTTCGCTTTCAAAGATGTCCCCTTAGCAACAATCATTCTCAAACAACACAAATCTAATGTATAACTTCCAACATCCTTGTTTTGTCATGAGACAACTTAGCAGACCATTGTGGTAGGCTATCACGTAGTATAACCGTCCAATAATAATAAAAAACAAAATATTAGACAAGTAAACTCCGCTTTTTTAATATATGACGATTACTATTCTACATTGAGGTGTGATTATTTGAGATAGTAGAATCCATTTTACCTATTTATTTGTTTATCATTAGATGATTACACCACATAACAATGCTAGCATAATATAACCATGTTGGCGTAATATAACCATGCTGGCATAATATAACAGCTACACCCAATATTCTCATAAAGTAGGTCCTCTGTTGAGCAGAAAGGCTTCAGAAAACCCAGTCGTAGATTACAAAAACTCCCTAAATAAACCTGATCACAACATATGTAACCAATCTTTAAGATATATCATATGAAACTGCTTCTAAACAGCACAGGGCACAGCATAACAGTGAGATGCAGTTTTTACATTAACACCACAATGCAGAGTCTAACCCGTTTATCATCTCTCGGGCACACACGTAAAAGTGCATACATATGAGCTACTGAGCACCTTCCGATCAGCATCCAACTAAAATTTGATCCGATAATGCCATAGATTCTTAATACAAACTAACAAATCTTTGCCCGGAAACAATCAAAACACTCGATTGAACCCAATCCTGGTCACGACTAGCATGCCCAATCAATCAGACCATTTAGTTGCCCTGTATTTGAACCAAATATCACAAAACCAACTAAAACACCAACATTTTCACGTATAAATATATAATTGACCTACAATTTTTGTAAGTAAAATTTTTTTTTACAACTTTACAAGCTGAACTTGTTAAATCAACTCCAGAAACAGGGCTTCTTGTTTGCTTGTTAGGCCTAGTTCGTTCAATGTTAAGGCACTCTCCCCCCCACTAAAAGAACGTCGAGGATATGGCCTCACCTGTACAAGAAATAACTTTGGATTAAACATAATAAGCAACATCTTTTGTCATCTTTCAACTGTTTCAACCAAAAGGCACTGAAGCCTGAAGATACATCTGAAAGATAGCCGAGAAAAAGAGAGACAACCCAAAAATCATTTTCACCCAACATTTTTTCTTCTTTTTTTATTGATAGATAATATTTGGCACAAGAAATGAAGACCAAATTAAATTACACATGAAATCCTCCTAATTTAACTTGAATGGATAAAGGGATATTGAAAAGAGTACAGCCAGCATATAAATGAAATCTACCAAGCACAGAGTCGGGCTTACCAATCTGTAAGTTCCAGGCTTGACCCCTCTACCAATATCAATAAAATCAAAAAGATACTGCACAGAACCACATTAAAATAAGTCACAAGAATGATTGAATTCATGCAGATCAGATCTTCACCACAACCTATACCTGTAGCTTGTCAGATTTGATAAATCGGCGACCTCGGCGGCTGCCATCAGGCATCCGCACAAGAAGGGTAATAGCATTTTCATCAGCTGATGTTGGTTCATGAGGAAGAGATGCTTCTTTGGCAGCTAGCAGTCTCTCAACCTCCTGCATCAACAAGCATTAATCTACAGCTGCAGAGAAGTGGAACCAGAGTATCTCGATGCATAAATTAGCAGGGAATCAATGCCATTTCACGCGTATATATTAAGCAGAAACCCCAAACCATCTCAGAAGGAAAATTAGGACCGTAGAACCTTGCAACCCATTAACCAAACTAATTTCCAACAACTAAAACGAGAAAAGCTGAAGCATGATTGAAAAATGGAAGCCTTAACCACAAGTTCTGCTCCCAGATGTCCCTTTCTGATTCTGTTTCCATGAGTTTAGTAATGATAAGTAAATGTGTCATAAAGCATGAATTTGTAGAAATTTTAAGATCCAGCACACAAATGGCTAATAAACAAAAAATCTTATATGCCATTCTTTTTCATCCTTGCATCATTCGCACAACACGAGTATTAGAGAACACATTTCCTTTACCAAATCTCCATAAAGTAACAAATCAAGAACAAGAGGTATACGGGGTCCCGATTAGATGGTTTTATTGATGCAACAGAACATTCCACTTTCGGCTGCAAGAGGAAAGAAATAAGCAACATCTTTACATCTTATTTAGTAAGAAGTTATATTCACCTGAAAACTATCAGCCTGCCAACTGTCCAGCTGGAGATGATATTGCATGTTAAATGAAGATCAAGCTATTTAGCACCATTTTCCTACTCTTCCTTCATTTTTTCCTTTTTCTTTTTCTGGGTAGGTCAGTTTAATTTCTAAGCTGAGCACTACGTAGATGTTGCAGTGAATATACAATAAGATGGAAGCCTCAGCTTCATCTGATAGTTATGAAGGTTGAGACATAACATAACAAATGGTTGTTCACCACACTCTCGACTTTTCTGTTTCTGAATGAGCCTGACCATTACAGGCCTTGATTTACAGCCTATATATGATTGGTGGTCACCATTTTTGGCAAGTTGAGAGTTGGCCTGCTAGTAACTGCATTTGGTTGACAATATTAGCTGTAAAATAAGATAATATTACCTGTTCCTCCTCCAATCTTATACGTGATTCATCCTCCTTTCTCATGTCTTCTTGAAGAGCAGCTTCTCTAGCTGCTTGTTCGTCTAAACGACGAGCTTCGGCTTCCTCCCTGGCCTTCAATTCTTTTTCCCTATCAGCTTGCAGTGAAGCAAGATATTCATCATCCTGCACGCATTTGATAGCAATGACATCAAGACAATAATTTTATAGATATATCCATCTATATTTTTGTGTCGATGAGATAAAGCAAGTAAAAGTAGCAAAATCCAGTACATAGAAATTATAGGGCACGGAACAGATGGCCTCAGAAAGTTAACCTGTTGTTCCCGTATCAAGCGCTGGGCAGCAAGAGAAGGTGATGGAGGACGCGGTGTCCACCAAGAATTAGGACCCACAGTTCTATCGAAGCCATTCTGCATGACCTGATGCGGTGCATAGGGAAAAGGATATCCACTCCCTTCAGGGATTCCGCCAAAGAGTGCAGCCTCAAGCATGACAGCTTCATCATGTTCCTCAGAAGATATGCCTCCCCACTTAAAAGAAACAAAGATCAAAGCAAGAAAAAAAGGTAATTGTGAACGAGTTAACTAAATATGATTCATAGATGGAAATTCAAATTTCCTAGAAAATCTGTGGTAAAATTTTTAATAGAAAAACAAATATACCTCATCCGATTGTAAGTGGCTTTCATTATGCTGTGGATTACTGACAATAACACCTTGTTGAGGACTTGAAGGAGGGCTAATCTCTATTTCTTCAATTTCTTTGGCAGTGTCGATAGAAACCGAAGACATTTGCCTACTCCTGTTCCTAACAAGTGGCTGTTCTTCGACATCTTCAGCTTCATCCTGGACAGATGAGCTTCCCATCTCCAACTTAGGTGGCCTTTATATACACATGTCAGATAAACCAAATCCTTGCTTCCAAGAATACCCACGCACATGTACTCACACACACACACACAACAAGCACACACACGTGCGCGTGCGTGCGTGGGTGTGTGTGTGTATGTGTGTGTGCGCGCGCGTGCGTGGGTGTGTGTGTGTGTGTGCGTGTGCGCGCGCGTGTTTCACCAGANCACAACAAGCACACACACGTGCGCGTGCGTGCGTGGGTGTGTGTGTGTATGTGTGTGCGCGCGCGCGTTTCACCAGNACACACACGTGCGCGTGCGTGCGTGGGTGTGTGTGTGTATGTGTGTGTGCGCGCGCGTGCGTGGGTGTGTGTGTGTGTGTGCGTGTGCGCGCGCGTGTTTCACCAGAAAAAACATCTAAATGATGAATTCATCACAATATCAAGTAACAAAAGAAGATTTATATACCTTCCATTAGGTGATGCTAATTGCCCTAGCTCTTCCATGTTGTCTGACTTATAAGTTTCCATATCTGATGCTTCTGTCCCCCCCAGTTCGCGCAATGCTTTCTCTTGCTCCGCTGTCTGGATTCAGTAAATGTCAAAACAAAGCAAAACATACAACATGAGGATACAATCATAATAGAAAAAGCAAACCTCCAATGATAACGAAACTGCATGAGCAAGTTCAGCATCCTCTAGGTGAGATTGCCTTTGCTGAAGCATGGGACCACTTGGGTCCTGTATCAGGATGAAAATATATCAAAATTCTAACAACGAAATAGGTGAAAGAAGAAAACCATTGAAAAAGAAAAATTACTTGACATACATATTGAACACCAAATTGTTGATCTGGATAAACTATCTCAGTATCCCGTTTGGAAGCCTCAATTGCAGCTCGAATCATTTCTTCTTCTATATCATTTCCATAGTCAGGTAAATCAGCAATTCCAGGGGAACTTGGTCTAGGATGCGTGTCATGAGAACTAGTTGGCTCTGCAGAACATGCAGTTGGAATATCTTTGTCATCTTTATCATCAGTTATTACAGTCCCATGGGTTCCTGGGCCATGGGAAACTGCAGTTTCAGTGACATCATCAATGGGNCTAGGATGCGTGTCATGAGAACTAGTTGGCTCTGCAGAACATGCAGTTGGAATATCTGTGTCATCTTTATCATCAGTTATTACAGTCCCATGGGTTCCTGGGCCATGGGAAACTGCAGTTTCAGTGACATCATCAATGGTAGGAGCAAGACCAGAATGACCGGATTGCCCATTCCCATCCTTGACCTCAATAGGGATCTCCCTCACTTCTCTTGGATGTGACACAAAAGGGGCACGTGCACTGCTTGGAAAATCAGTTCCACTATCAAATATACTGCTACGGACAAGGGGATCAACGAGAGAAAAAGGATCCACATTTCCCGCAGAAGATATAAGTGAGAAAGGAGGTCTACGGGATGCAATTGGAATTGGATCATCAATGTCCATGACATCATCCTGAGGAGCAGGAACAGATGTTTCGTGTGTGCTGAACAAAGGAAAACATCCAAATGAAAACTAATGTAAGAATTAAACATGTGTTCAAAGCAAAGAGATACTGTTGTCAGGCTGAAAAGGAAATGGAAAAATAAAACACAGAAGCAAATACGACATAATAAAGGGCACAGACATGTTTCGATCCCCTTCACTGAAATGCGCATTGATGGCTTCATTGAGATTGCCACCATGCTCCTGATTACCACAGAAAATTTCAATATCAAATTAAAGAGTTCAAACAAATATAGCATTACTGTTTAAAAACAACATTTTATGTTATATAGACTCTGCTCAATGCATGAAGTACCTGCTTCAGACACACAACACCTAAGCAAGGATAATGGGATATCGAGATATTAACCCACCAAGCATATCCAAAAATGGACGAAAAACATAAACAACAAACTTAGACGATCTGAAGTTGATATTGATCTAAAGAAATTAATACAACAACAAGCATGAACCTTTTTGTAAGTAGATTGCATGACACTATATCAGTCAACCTCAGTGCAGTGTTATATATCTCCATGCTTGCAAAGTAATTTACCATTCTTTTCAAAATCCAATTCCAAAACTGGTCAAGGAAAATTTGGACAAGCTGCAAAGGATTATCTTTAGAATGGGATGGAAAACAAGTTCAACCAGCATTCTGGGTTGAATTAGTGTGCCTGCCTTATGCAAGCATGTGGTCAGTGAATTAAAAGGTGAAACGACCTAACCAAGAATTGTAAGGGAAGTAGTTATGAGGATATGTTTACGAAAAGGGTATTTTTCAAGAATGGCAGAATCAATGTATCAGAAGGAGAGATGATTGCAGAACAACAGAGGTTGGTTAGCACATACAATATAGTAAACACACTATTCACTAATGACAATTAATTAAGAGCACTGCTATGGGGACCTAATCAAGGACTTAATTCAATGCCGTCTGGATTAATTGTGATTAGTTGTTAGTTCTAATATAAGATGAAACCCACTTTCAACCATTGACTCCATTGAATAAGTCCCAGATTAAGTTTAAATAGCATTTTCCATTAATTAAATATGCACATTAATCAACAAAAGCATATTGACATTAAGTTAGCAGTACTAACGGTAATTCTCAAGTAACGTCATAAAATGATGCTTGCTAATGCTAGCTAATATGATGTGTGCAGCTTTAAGATGACTCGTTTACTACGATGCCCAGTTTGGCTAAAATAGCACTCAACGCATGCATCGTGCATCCGCGAGTGAAATCCAGAAAGCCAGAACATAAAGCTCCACCTGACTGATCCTATAATAATTCATTTTTACCGAAGGTTTAACAGCTTAATTGAAGCCCAAAAGAAAAGGGTAAGTTAAATTGACTTTTCCTCTGATTTTTTTAACCAGAGATTACGCAAACTCCATGTCCAAGCAGTCGAACGACAAATAATGAACCGATGAGTGAGATAAGATTTGGCAGAATATAATCCCTAATTATGAGCTCCATACAACAGTTTACAACCAATCAGGTAAAGCAATGGAGCATACATGAACAGAAACTGATGCCTAAAAACCAACAAAACTCCATAAATAATCACATTAATCTCAGAATTTTGATCGGCGAGCTAGTAAAATTACCTCAAGTTTTCGTATAGCATCTGGTTCTGATACGCCAGTTATATTCATGTAGGTGTTAATTGCTTCCTGATTAGGTCTCGCCATTTCCAAAGATTCCAAATTTACACACACACACACACAGGGAGAGAGGGAGAGAGCAGATGACTTGTGTGTTTGATGGAAGGAATGTGGTGGACTGTACTGAATCCTTTTGTGGGTGTTGTGGTTGGCTTGGTAATTAAGGTGAAAGGGCTTGCCCCTTCTGGGCTTTCTGTAATGTGCGAAACTTGTTCGCCAGGAAATAGTTGTGGGCCATGTGGGCCATATTTGGATTTCTTTGGGAATAATTAGCTTAAAGACGTTTTTTTTTCTTTTTCCTTTTTTTTTTTAACGCACAATGCAATATATGCATATTTTAAATATATTTTATCCAACGCTATACTCCCGTGGCAAGTGCTCAAGAAAATTAATAAATTCAAGTCTAAATACTCCTTCTAAAATGTTCTAACATTTGAAAGAGCGAATGGAAATTCATTAATCTAAGGACGGCTCAAGTTAATTTAAAATATAAAACAAAAACATTCAATGAGACTTTTTTTTTTAGTATTAATTTTTTATGTGAGAGATTGACAGAAAAATAATTTTATTTTTTAACAAATAAAGAAAGAGAGTTTTATTTTAATTTTAATTTTTTTTATTGGAGAGAGAGAGAGAGAATTGATGAAGGTAAATATGAGTTAATTTTTAGTATTTTTTTTTATTTTTTAAAATTTTTATTTCTAGGTTTTTAAATTAAATATAACATTATTGTTTATAAAATATAGGGGTAATTTGGGGGTTTAAATATGATAATGATGGCAAATTTTCAAACAATTAACATTTATACTCAGGAATCACAAATGCTTTCCAAACTTTTTGCCTGGCATTTTTTTTTTTTTTGTAATTTTTTTTTTAAAGGAAGAGGGACTTGAATCATTGACCTTAATAATGCAAAATTTTCACAAGGTAAAGAATACCATTAGACCAAAGATTCATTAATATTTTGCCTAACATTTTAGGGGTTAGGACGGTACGAATTTTTTTAATGAACATACAAAATGATACATGTAATTTTTGAATATATTTTACTCAATATTATCCTAATAGTTTCATTTAAACGTTAAATTTTTTTTGGAGGTGATGTTAAGACAATACAAATTTGGAATATTAATACAGTGTCGAATTTTTTGGAGTGAATTTTGAATCAACAATGTAACATATTGAAAATTGTGATTAGGATTTTGTCATGTCACCTAATTAGGTTTGATAATCGAACCGAGTTACTCGAGTTTGAATCGTTTTGGACTTATGTAGGCTCGACTTGTTTTATTTTCTAAACGAATTAAATTTGAACAATTTTTTAAACTTGTTTAGAAAACGAGTCTGGTAGATTCAATTTATTTATGTGTAAATACTCAAATTCGACTTATTTAGATGAAAATATGTTTAGGGACGTTTGCGCCAGTTCAATTTTCAGCCCTACACTCAACACCATCTAAATGTAAAATAATGTTTTGAGGTTTTGCACATATGGTATGTAAAATAATCTCGATTGCATTTGGTATTATATGGGCCAGACCTAAGGCCTAAACCAATTGGTTCTAAATTGGGTTAATAGGGGCCCAATAGATCCTCCTNACGCACAATGCAATATATGCATATTTTAAATATATTTTATCCAACGCTATACTCCCGTGGCAAGCGCTCAAGAAAATTAATAAATTCAAGTCTAAATACTCCTTCTAAAATGTTCTAACATTTGAAAGAGCGAATGGAAATTCATTAATCTAAGGACGGCTCAAGTTAATTTAAAATATAAAACAAAAACATTCAATGAGACTTTTTTTTTTAGTATTAATTTTTTATGTGAGAGATTGACAGAAAAATAATTTTATTTTTTAACAAATAAAGAAAGAGAGTTTTATTTTAATTTTAATTTTAATTTTTAAATTTTTTTATTGGAGAGAGAGAGAGAATTGATGAAGGTAAATATGAGTTAATTTTTAGTACTTTTTTTTATTTTTTAAAATTTTTATTTCTAGGTTTTTAAATTAAATATAACATTATTGTTTATAAAATATAGGGGTAATTTGGGGGTTTAAATATGATAATGATGGCAAATTTTCAAACAATTAACATTTATACTCAGGAATCACAAATGCTTTCCAAACTTTTTGCCTGGCATTTTTTTTTTTTTTGTAATTTTTTTTTTAAAGGAAGAGGGACTTGAATCATTGACCTTAAGAATGCAATATTTTCACAAGGTAAAGAGTACTATTAGACCAAAGATTCATTAATATTTTGCCTGACATTTTTTTTTTTGTAATTTTTTTTTTAAAGGAAGAGGGACTTGAATCATTGACCTTAAGAATGCAAAATTTTCACAAGGTAAAGAGTACCATTAGACCAAAGATTCATTAATATTTTGCCTGACATTTTAGGGGTTAGGACGGTACGAATTTTTTTAATGAACATACAAAATGATACATGTAATTTTTGAATATATTTTACTCAATATTATCCTAATAGTTTCATTTAAACGTTAAATTTTTTTTGGAGGTGATGTTAAGACAATACAAATTTGGAATATTAATACAGTGTCGAATTTTTTGGAGTGAATTTTGAATCAACAATGTAACATATTGAAAATTGTGATTAGGATTTTGTCATGTCACCTAATTAGGTTTGATAATCGAACCGAGTTACTCGAGCTTGAATCGTTTTGGACTTATGTAGGCTCGACTTGTTTTATTTTCTAAACGAATTAAATTTGAACAATTTTTTAAACTTGTTTAGAAAACGAGTCTGGTAGATTCAATTTATTTATGTGTAAATACTCAAATTCGACTTATTTAGTTGAAAATAAGTTTAGGGACGTTTGCGCCTGTTCAATTTTCAGCCCTACACTCAACACCATCTAAATGTAAAATAATGTTTATGGTATGTAAAATAATCTCGATTGCATATGGTATTATATGGGCCAGACCTAAGGCCTAAACCAATTGGTTCTAAATTGGGTTAATAGGGGCCCAATAGATCCTCCCAGTTTTCAACCCAATTTGCTGTTAGACTCTTCATTGTGATCCCAGAATACTGGACCAGCCCAATTAAAAGATCATGATGCGAGTAACGAATGTCCGGCCCTTTTGGAAAAGAGAAACGACGCCGTTTAGACAGCCAGCCAGCTTCTTCGGAATTGCCTGGAGCTCCGAACAACTCAGGCTCCTCCTCCGATGCCCAAGATCAAAACCTTTGGTTGGCTCTGATCTGAAACCCTACTGTAGTAAACGAGGAACAAGAAAGAGAAGCAATGGTTTTGTTTTTGGGGATGGGACATTGATATCACTCATCTTCAGACTAATTCTCATTTACTTCCCCAAAAATCTCCTCTCGTCCCGAAGTCTCCACTCCTCTCACCAGCCTCCGCCGTCGTACTCTCTCTCTCTCTCTCTACTCATGCAAATGCATATCTATACGAGCACACACATGTGTGTCCTTTGTTCAATTGAACTAATACGTCGTTTATGCTTTGATATTTGTAGTGACGGAGGGTTACTGGTTAAAGCAAACATCTATGTCGCCCTATGCTGGTTAGTTTTCTATTCACATTTCAGTTTATGGGTTTGAATTTTTTATTAATATGTTAAAGGAATTTGTGGCATTTCCATGGATCGCCTCTTTTATTGTTAATCGTCAGTCCGCTCACTGTTAAACGGTACCTATGAGCTTTTGTCAACAGTTCATTTCAGCTTCTCTGCCTGTATGCGTGTGGTTATAGATATATGAAGTGATGTGGATTTGTAACATTTTGTTGGGTGTAGCCATTCTGGCCAAAAGGGGTTGACAAGCCAACTAAAGCAACCGATTTCTTTCTCATGGCGACCAGTTCTATTTCTCTTTTTGTGGGCTTCTGTATGGATATGTCTTAGTTCTGTCTGGCATTTCTGTAAAAGAGTATAGTAGTCTTTGGGAGATGTTTAATAGGTACCGACCTATTTTGCATATATCTTCCTTGTTTAGGATTTCATCTAATCGCCTGCAGATTCTTTTTGTGAAATGAGAGAATAACAAAATATTTAACATAAATACTTTTTAAAGTTAATGAATTATGGAAAATGATCCACAATCCAAGTTTTAAATGTGTTGATTTCCCATTGTTACCCTGATTGCTTTCTAAAGCTAGTGTCCTTGGCAGCGAGAAAGGTCCACCCTACTGCTGTAGATTCCACCTAGAACCTTCGAGCCAGAAATTTTGTTTTTGCACTTCATCTTCAATCATTTTCTGGGTAGTGACATTACTTGATCGAGCTTTTACGTGTAGTTGGGATGGAGTTCTTCATCTGTTACGGACTCAGATTAGTGCATTCTAATTCATTAACTAGGACACTAAACATAATGGTAACGTATGTTTAAACAGAATTATTCCCCACATGCCTAAGTATTTATTAGGCATCATTTTTGAAGTAGTTTTCCAGCACATGCCAGTTTTGTGTTCTTTAAACTTATATACACAATCATTTGCAGCTTAAGTGCTTATAATTTTCCATTGTGTGTTATGCATCCATATCAAGAGTCCCTGTAATTGATGTAAACAGTTTTTTGTCACTTGTTAGGGTTTATTTATTTTTTGATTTCAGTGGATTTGTACACTTTTTTAATTTTTGAAAACTTGTTTTACTGTACACTTTGATTACCCATTTTCTAAGTTTTCTTCATTTTTTTGGCAGACTGTATGGGCTTATTCTCACTGTGAAAGATTAATCTCCAAACACGTGTCTTATGGTGAGTGCAGCCTTGTGTTTGTTTGTTGATAAGACTAAGCTAAGGGTTCACAATTTATCTGATTTATTTGTCACTTGAATGCAGGTACTTCGCAGAAACTTTGACTTATTAGAAATTTCTTTCTTGTAGTTTTCCATGTAAATATTCTGTTCATGATTGTTGCCACTAGCCATATGGCTAAACCATCGGACCTGTTTCTGGCTTTTGTGTACATTGCAATCTCTTCAATGCTTAAATCTTATCCGTCCGTAAGTTCTCCCATCGTTTTGCACAACTTGCCATTG